AATGTGTGCTGCTGCTTGATGAGTGATTGAAAATCTAAGGAGGCATGTGGCCATGTGCGGGAAATCACAAACAAGCTAGCCAACTTCAAGAGGCTCGGCAATGCGACGCGCGACTTCAGCAGGCATGTGCCCACACCCGTGGCCCCTTGCCAAATTTGATGGTGACCTGGAGACCCACCTGCCACTTAATGATTAAACGATTCATTCAAAAGTGGGACATGCTTTTGTTCAGGGCTGCCGAACCAGCAATCAACCAGCAATGGTGCTGCAAGCTTCTTTTGTGTGGCATGGGCCACTGGTTAATAAACAGGAATGCCCTACTACCAACCCGGGTCCTTCATTGATGGCCTTATTCCCTTACCATATTTTCTGAGAATGATTGAGGAAATCGAATATGTGACTATTCCGATGAGTTCAGGGACCACCTCGCAGAAGTGGGTGTACTGGGATTGTCCGATGCTTTGTCCACGGAATGTCCTGCAGTTCCTCTTTGACGAGTCGGGCCTCTCTATTGATGATGAGACTGTGCGGCAGTATTGGTGCCATGCTCGTGAAGCTGGTTTGCCTTGGGCCTGTGCACAGCCTGATGAGGAGTCATGCATACCACTGAAGCTGTTTGGTGATGATGATGCCTGGTCCAAATAGTCATTTTAGCTGTCCGATTTCCAGCAGTTAAGATTCCTAATTGGCACTTTTCGGGAAGCCCGGAATGGAACATGGTTTGTGTGACTTGTTGGCATGCAGGCTCGCATTGGCCCCCCTGGTGGCGAGAAAGTATATGCAATATTTCTGAGTTGCCCTCTGTTTCGACCTAGATGTGGTAGACAGAGCCGCTGGCTTCTTTGGAGTATGAGATCAAGCATTTACTTGGGACCGCCATCACTTCGACCTATCTTGGCCAAGATTGTGGCATCACTTTGGGAGTGCTTTGAGAACAAGCTTCCTCGCAGTGGGTGTTACTTTCAGGTGACTGAGATTGGAGGAGACTGGAAGTATTTACGCGAACTGTTTGAGTTTCAATCTCATTGGCGTGGCCATCACATCTGCCATTTCTGCAATGTGACCAAATTGGGCTACTTGAAATTGCATGACCCCACAGCCTGGCATTCGACCGCCAACTTCATTTCAACTCAGCTGCCAGATAATCCGGTGCCTCTTATTCTACTACCTGGATTCGATATATCCATGGTACAACTCTGTCAACTTCATCACTTGAATTTGGGGCTGTTGTGGACGGCTAACGGCTCGACCCTGGTCTACCTACTTGAGGGTGGCTATTTTGGTGACCCCACACTACCATTCAAGACCCTCCTCGAGCAGAGCTACACCGATTTTTTGCAATGGTCGTCGCAGTTCAAAGTGCGACATAGTCAACGCAAATTTACAAGTGGTTTGGTTCTGAAAAAGGACTCGGGTGCGTACATGACTGCAAAAGGTCATAATAGCCGTGTGATCACGCAGTGGCTCGCTGACTGTGCTCTGAAGGCGTGGGAAGGTCACCTGGGGGCTCCATCGCGCAATTTTGGAAAATGGCTACTTGCCCAAGGTGGCGCACCGGCCATTGATGATTTTCTTGCACCCACTGCGCTGGCAATGTTGCTTGATCTTGGCACCTTTTGGGTTTTTGGGTATGAGTTGTTGTTGTGCTTGTTTTTTTTTTTTTTTTAATTTGACTGTTGCCACCTCAGGTCTTTTAAGTGGGCTTTTGGCGGCCACTCCAAAATAGCTTTGCGAAACAACACATTGACTGTCGGTGTTGGCTAAGGGCATCAATCAGTCGCTTCTTCAGCATCTCGGAAAGATGCCCGCGGTTTCTGGTTGATTCAGCTGGACCGGAGACACATTACTGCAGCTGGTGTGTGGTACTTTTATGTGTTTCAAGTTTTTGCCCGGCGCCCAACAATTTATTCTCCCACTTTCACTGCATTTGAGGATGGCCTCTTTGGCAAACGGCATGTTTGAACACGGCCGAACGTTTCTTCGGATGCATGTGGTGCTCGCGAGACTTTCCACAAGGACTGTGCTTCAAATTTGAAGTGACACAATTGCGTGCTTGGAATAGTGACTGGCTGCAGGAAGTGCCGGAAGTGGTGGATCGTAAAGCCGAAGTTCCATCTCTTCTGGGAGTCCCTTCAAAGGGTGAAACGGCACAGACACTTGAATGATTTAGTTGGGGTGATTGTGTGGTGGGTGCATTTGCTAAAATCTAAGGACACAACCAGAGGTTTGTGCACGGATTCATCGATGAGGATGCTATGGGTTGGTTGGCAGGCCTGAAAGTTCATCCCCGCCGTTATGAATACTCTGTTTTGAAGAGGGCAGGGTGGCGACTTCGGGCCAATGCCTTGCGATGGGCCCGCATCAAAGAACACATGCGCAGGCAGTGACATATTGGATGCGGCTCAAAAAACCTGTACTAAAATGGCATCATGGCATGAATGAGTCAGATGGCAAAAACCTGAAAAAAACCTACCACTTTAATTTGAGCCACACCCAAATGAGTCACTGCTGAGTTCGTGTGTAACGCGAGTTGGGTGAACATCATCCTGAGCGCTGTCAAAAAATGCGAAGAAGCTGCGGAAACCATGGCTGGCCACAATAAATTATTGAAATACGTGAAATGACGACTTTTTGGGGTGCCTTCTAAACGGGGGCTCGACGTAACCAATTACAACGACCTGTCATTGGCGGGGTGTATGTTGCACGACTAGGCTTTGGCGGGTGGCTGGAATCTGAAGGTATATATATATATATACAAATATTGGTTGTGTAGGGGCATTCCGGGCAAAAAAGGGATGCCAACGAATCTTTCAGCCTTGTGAACGGGTTCGGCTCAGATCCTTTTCGCGCCGGGGCGAAACCAAGGGTTGATCCTGTCCGGGGAGCCGAGTCTCATGTTGACAGGCTTGCTGGCTCGATGGCTGAGAAATGGAGTCGAGAAAAGCCATCCAACTGGTGGTTCCTTTCGGGCACCCAACTGGGTTCATTCCCTCATTGCTTTCCTGCAGATGGCCATAGGAAAATAATGTGATCGCAAAAAGTGCACAAGTTGTGGGGAATATCTTCGTGAGGACTGCCTTAAACCCACCCTGAACCCTTGCACCCCCAACCTAAAGACGCCGCAGTTTCCTTTGGCTTTTAAGTGTGTTGCAGCAACATGGTTGGTGCTTACTAGTTTGTTTCCGCGTTTTGGTTTTGATGCTTAAGAAGTCATTTTTGGATGCCTTAATTACCCCAATTTACCCCGCAGCCTGGGCCCGCAGCCTCATTTACACGCCTTTGTTCGTCAAGACCTCGCGTTCTGTTGGGTAATTTTCCGAAGCCCTGTGCGAAGTCGTTCGATTAAGTCTCATGATCCTTTTGATGCTGCGGATGGACGAAATCCATTTCGCCCCAAGAAATCCTTATTTCCAGCAGCCTCATCTACCTTCTTGCAGTCGCGGCTTTGTCCTCCATGCACTTCTCCATTGAGTCCAAGAACTTAAGTGCAGCTTTTCGCCCATGGACAGTCCCCTATTAATAAACTGGGGCTGATCAATCTGGAGTCAGCACTGGAGAAGAACACTAGGGTCTACTCTTTAAACCACCCCCCGAAAGGGTATAAAAGCAAGGCCCCATTTTTTTGGTAAGTACAACAAGGCCTTCTTGGCACTTTCCTGTTTTTCATGCTGAGGATGCTGGAAATGCAAGGGATGCAACCACACAACTTACAGGAAGAGACCCAATCTTCGCGCTCAAGATTTTAAGACTTTCAGACACGCAACATTGACCAAGCACAGAAAATACCAGAGATGTGGGGAATGCTGGGAATGGAGCCGGCTAGCCACAAAAAAGTGCAAAATACCAGGTTGTTCAATATTTTCCAAAAGCAACCATCAAAAACCGATACTACCTGGATCATCCATCGCTACTTTTATTTCTGCCTCCCCCCCTGTTCGATACATAAATGGGAAAATGGTAGCACTTTTCTACCTTCTTTTGCTTGCGAGCGTTTTTTTCCGATTCGAGCATTAATTTTGTTCGGCCACATTGTTCCATCAAGACAGCAGGTGTTGGTTTTCCAAAACGAGCGCAAAACGCGCAAACGAGCGCAAAATAAGCGCAAAAAGGGCGCAAATTTGCGCAAAAAAGTGCAAAAGGGCGCAAATTCCAAAAAAGGTACGAATTCGACACTCGTCCGGTCGACTCATTCGATCCCTCGAGCATTTTTTTCCCAAACGAGCACTTTTTCTGTGGACGTTGTGGCCGGGGCAGAAATATTTCGTAGCACAATTTTAGGTAGCGTTGGATGACCCTGGTAGCAACCCCCTCAAATACCCTAAAAATCGACTTCCAAAAGCACGATAATGCAGGGGATGTTTCGCAGTAACTGCTCCGTACAGGTGGGGAATTGCAAAAAACACTCTTTTTTGCAAATTTCTAGAGTTCCTCAAAGTATCACTGCATTTGGCCCCACCCAAACCCCTAACATGCCAATTCCAACATCGCTTGAACAGCAAAACACAACTAGTATCTGCAAAAAGAGAGACAAATTCATGGCAACAAGATAATCCGGATGATGCTGAGGATGCAGATCCTGCGCGTCCGAGGGAAATCCCCCCCCTAGAGACCTAAAGACCCAAAAACTCTTGAGAAATACAGGTTTTGGACACCCAGCACAGCATGTGCAAAGAATAGCAGTCCCAAAAGCCTTCGGCTTTGATAAGAGATCCCGAAAAAAGACCAAGTTGCGGACTGCCATCTACACGCTCGACTGGCGTCGGCGGATTGGCGTTCTTCAACAGGTTGGGGTGCTGGTATTAGTCCGTGACATACTCCATAGTTTTTTATTTCGCAAGATCTGTCTTTGTTTTGTTGGCGGCTCCCAGCCATGCGGTTCCTAAGCTTTTTAGCCTTTTAGTGTTTAGTGGGGGGTTTTCCCATGTAGCCCACGAAACGTTCGTCACTTTTACCGGGGCATTTGAATACGGGCAGCTCGGTTTTTGTGTCGCGCCTGGCAGGCGACTGCAAGAGGTGCTGCTTCTATCCCAAGGGCCGGTGCCAGAATGGCTATGAGTGCAGGCCGGCGGTTGGACCGGGAGAGATGCGCGAGATGCCTGTTTCTCGGGGGAAAAATATAGGGTAACCTCAAAATGGAACCCTGGTAAGTGGCAACATAGACTAAAACCTGCGGAAACCTGGTGGTTTAATTTTGACCCACACGCATATGGCAGTTGTTGTCAAAACCGTTTTGGATCCCATTTTGGTTGGTAGGTGGATTCACCACCCAGTTAGAACCTGTTTTAGTGGGGAGGATTGGGAGGTTCACTGAGGGTACGGGCTGTTGACCCGTGGCCATTTTTTGTTGTTGCGGGGGGACGTCATGTTTCGTTTGCTGTAAAAGCGGGCAGAGTTTGGCATAGAGTTTTTGGTCACTCGTTGCGGGTGACATATGACATCACCATATGGTCGACTTTTCATGGAGCTCCCGTTTAAAAGGATGATGCTGAAACGGGGGCATGCAAATAACCCAGTTCCTCGACAAAGCTTCCACACGTGTGCCGAGCACTCTTGCGCAGAAAGACGTTTTTTCCCTACCACAAACTGGCGGAGCGCTCTTTGAGAACAAAGTTGTGTTTATCTCGAGTTGCAAGTCATTGTAACAGCTGGTGCGCCAAGATCCGACCTGAGATTTGCTAACTCAGGTTGTGGACATACATGCGATGGCAGACGCACATTGTCCATGTAGCATTTGTATGGCCTCTTAATTGCTTTTGTTTTGTTGCCAGCGAGCAACAGCAAGTTGCTCATAGTTCCGCAGGCAATTTCAATGGAGAGGGCCAGGCCCAAGGCTTTCCTGCCGGCTTTTCCGGTGCAAAACTTTGCTCAGCGGTTTGTCCCTGGATTTGCAGGCTTTCTATAACTGCCCCGTGCCGTTTTTTTCTTCCTCCGAAGACGCCCCCAAGCACCCTTGCCCCTATTTCTGCCTCACCCAAGCGTATTTTCTTGTCGGGAAACCTCTAGCGACCCCTCTGCAAGTACGGCTGGGGTTTCGGTCATCATGGGTGAGCCCATGTCAACCACGAACTAAGCTTGTGACGTGCGTAAATTGATAACAGTTGCTGGAACGAATCAGGGAGCTTCCACAGGCTTGATACCGTATGTTTTTGATTTTCCTCTGTTGGTTTTAAAAGGGATGTATTACTACTGGACATATTTCCATTTTTGCTCCAAGGGACTTCAGCAAATGAAGGGCATGACTGCTTTTTTTGGAGGACTCGGCGTAGAGGTCTGGCCAGTTTGTTAATAAGGGGGTGGTCCCTCCAAAAGTAGCGATGCCCCACTGAAGCCAGCAGCACCGCCTATTAATAAAGTGGGATTGATTAATCTGTTCCCATTGAAGAATCATTCGGGTGGAATCCACTGATCTGCGTGAAGCGACGGTGTAGGAAGATGCTTGTAGAGAACGATGCAGAATTCAGGGGCCCCTTTCGACGAAAAAGGTGCACCCTGTTTTTGGGTTGGAAGTTTGCATCCAGGTTCTGCCACTTCGACCACGACAAGCGCAAGCGCCCGGGCCCCGCTTGCCCCTTTTGCCCCTTTGCCCCAGGCACTCCAAGGAAGCGTTTCCAGCCCAACGGGAGGGTGGGCCTCAAAAAAAGACACGCCCGTCTATCCGGTTCCATTTTAGGGGGGTTGCTTCTTTTTTGGGGAGGACTCACCACCCTATGAAAAAGAGCCCGCGATTCATGCATGCGAGGGTCGACGTTTCGAACAAGTTCACGGGCTTTCCTTAAATCAACGGTGCAGGTGCAAGACCTGCCAAAAGTGAACGCTCTTTAGGCGTGTTGTTTTTGCCATCCAGTTTTCCGGTTGCCCCGAGCCGTTCCCAAATTCTTGGAACCCAAGCTACCCCAAATTGGTGGTTTGGAGTGGTGGCCTAAGGGCCAGGGGAACCTTTGAACCTCTAGTTCTTGTAGAGGGTAAAACCCCTCCCCCTAACCCAAACCACTCAGAGGGAAGCCGATTCCTGGTTGCTCCGAGCATGCCATTGCGCAAAAAGCAGGTTTCCTTCTGCCGTCGCAGAAGCACAAGACGAGCTTTCGCGAAAGCCACGATGGTCCTGGGACTCCGATTCTCATTCCATTGTAGTAAACAACAATTTGATTTTAACGCGAGAGAGAGAGAGAGAGAGATAGACAGGGGAGCTTAAGCCTGGTTGAAACAGCACAGTCCCCCCCCCCCAGCCTTCCGCGGCCCGAGGCGTTAAGAAATCCGGCCCGGGCCCAAGGTGAGATGGTTGGAAAAGCGAGGAGCAGCACCAGCGAATCTAGCCGGTGACCTGGTGAATTGTCCCAGTAGAAACACCGGCTTAGCTAAGCTTGTGCTGGGTCTGGGCATTGGTCGTGAAGCAAACACTTATTTTTTGTGCCAAACTACTCGGTTGGAAGCGCGATGCCAAGTTTGCTTTGCGCATCGCTGCTTGGCGCGTTTTCTGCGGGAAGGCCAATTGAGGGCTTGTGCAAAGAGTTCAGAGACATGCCCCGGAGCCAATCCCCTCCGTTCCCGGGAGTGGCCTCGGCTCCAAGCGCCGAGGCGAGGGCCATGGGCGCGGGGCCCAGGGTTCCGCGTGAGATTCTTGCGTGTCCATCCTTGCCGGAAGGTGGTCGGGCGGCCGGTGTGAGGTTGCCAACGGCCCCGGGAGACCACTACAAAACTTTTTCAGCGACCTAAACTGGCAAATGGCACCAGTTTGAAGCAAACCTGCAACGCAGCGGATCCTGAATCGGTTGGGTCTTCACTCATCTCACTCCCCACAGCCTTTTGAGAGGGTTTTGGGATGCAGCCTCTCAAAGGGCGGCAGACTCGGCGGATTTCCTCCTTGGACTTCATCGCGCGCGCTTCGACTTGTATCACCTTCGCTGGTCTGCAGAGATCGGCTTCATTGCTCAACGCGAAGGCTGCCGGTGCCACGCAGGGGGTCAACGCTCCCGCGGCGAATCCGCCGGAAAAAGGGGGGAAGGTGAATCAAAGGAAGGGCCGTCTCTTGGGACTGAGGTTCCAAGCAACTTGGAGCAAAACGTGAACACGGATCCAACAAGTTCCGAACACATCCGCGCCATCTTTGAGCACTCAAAGGCTCTGAAAGGAACGCCGAAAGGAGGTTGCTGAACAAGACCTCGCCACTGCAGCAGACTTTACCTCCAGGAGATGAGGGACAGGTAACCCTCAATGATTTGGTTTTGATTTGAGGTTTGGATTTATGCATTTGAACCCCCAGTTCCTTCTTGGGATGCGTATCAATAATTACCATCCCGGAACACTTCCAAACACCGATTGGGTTTGTCTCAACAGTAGACCCTGCAAATTGCCCTTGGTTTTTGTTGAACCTCCCTGCAAAACCCGGAGCCACCCGCCAAAGTGGTGATGACCCGCCAAAGTGGTGGTCATGGTTGTTGTTGGGAATTTTCCATTTTTTTGTTTATTGTGGTTTAGTGGTTGAAGTCCCCACTTAACTGCTATTTCTAAAAAAGAAAAAGAAACAAACTATTGCTCCACTTCCAAAGTCAACCAAGCCAAAGGCTTCCCTAAGTTGGTGGTTTGAACCTCCGGTTCTTGTGGAGGGGTATATAAATGGGACCCTTCACCTTCCCCAAGCTCCAGCTCCAAACCGTCCATTTGGTTTCCCGAAGGAACTGCAAGGAACGGCACCGAATCAAACGAGGCAGTCTCCAAGTCCAGCACCTTGCAACCTTGCAACCAAGTCCCAAAGTGTGTTTGTTTGGCGGATTTTTCAAGTGTTTCTGGCTTTGTTTTTGTTTGGCGCTTTTTGCTTTTTTTTTGTTTTTGTTTTGTTTTTGATTGGTGGATTTTTTTTAATGGGTGAGGGGGGGGGTGGTAAGTTCCTTTGTTGGGGCGGGGTGTTTTTTTTTTTTTGCGGTGAGCCAGCTGAGGCCAGAGATGCCGGCCGCGGGCTCGGGTTTTCGGATGTCTTCGGGACCGGGGGTTGGGCCGCCAGAAAAAAAAAAAAAAAAAAAAAAAAAAAAAAAACGCCATGTTGGCGGGAGGCCCTGACTGTGAGGCAAGCCAGAGAGAGAGAAGAGAGAAGGGAAGGGAAGGGAAGAGAGAAGAAGAGAGAGAGAGACGCATGACCCACATGAGGAGTTGTTTCCATGGCATGGGTTGCCTCTCACTGGACTGTTTAGCTCTGAGGGGTCAGCGTGGGTGGACAGAAGCTCTAATTGATTCATCCCCGGGGTGATTTTGCCTGTCCTGGACACGGCTCAAATCAAGCTTTCTTGGGATGCCCCCGATGTGCACTGTTTGCGAAGTGCTGAGCTGAAAAAGTGCTAGCGGTTTGTGGGCGCTTTGTTTCGGGGGAGCACCGTGTAATGTGACCTGCGGATAGCTTCGGATTCATCCGGACCCGATCAGTCAGGGGACCCCGGAAAAGTGGATTGGGAAACCTTACATGGGAACCGCGCCTGGTTACTGTCCTCCGATAGATCCGGGGTGAACATGACCCTCTTTCCAACTATGTGGATTAGATGGAAGTGCGCAGCTGTCTAGATGGCAATCCACCACCCCCCACTGTCATGACCTTTCGGGTAGCCCTTCCATCAAAGCCGTAAAGAACGCACCTCCCTCCTAAGAGAATCCTTCCTCATACTCCCTCGTTATTCACCCCCTGCGGAGTTTCTTGGATTTTTGATGGCCAGCTGCTGCTGGTGCCGGTCTCTCAAAATCAACCAAGGGCTTTGCTTTTTACATCCGGGGTTCCCATTCTCCAGGGTGTTTCTGTTGGCTGGCCGGCAGGCTGATTACCCTCTCCCGAGGGCATCGCTGTAAGGGCTCACACGCACGCACGCACACGCGCTCACACGCACGCACGCACACGCGCTCACACGCACGCACTCACACGCACGCACACATGTAGGCACGAGCGCACGCTTGCACACATGCAATCACATATGTGCCACGAGCGCTTTGCGCACACGCACACGCGCACACGCGCACACGCGAACATGCGCCACGCACATGGTCATGGAGGCACGCCCGCACGCGCACGCACCCACGCACATGGGACCATCGTCTCGGGTTTTGTGCTGTTTTCCCAATGGAAGTGGACGACCGGGAGGGTTGGAAGGCTATCCTTTTGGAAAGGCCCGCAACACCACCCGGAAAGCAGCGGAAGCAGCATTAATCTGCTTTTTTTGTTTGGGGGTTTGGTGGGCGTAAAACGAGCGAACACCCATGATGCGGTGGTGCGGGTCCTTTACATCCCCAACGTCGGGTTTGGATATTGCTTGTGGAATATAAGCAGCCCCCCTCGGTGTAGAAGCCCTTGACACGGGGAGCTGTTTATCTCAGCGGAAAAGGGCAAACCTTGGTTTTGGGTAGAACATCGGCAGCAACTCCTCGTCATTTCGCCCAGGCAAACCTCATGCCGCCGACGCCAAATGCCCAATGCCTGGCGAATGGAATTGCCCAAGTTGGGGGGCTCAGTCTTTTCCATTGTCCCATGCCAGGGGCCAGCCATAGCTCACTAGCTGATTCAGCTGGGTCCAAGGAACCTTGAGGCTTGGTGCACAAATTGGTAGAACCAGACCCCTGCCATGTCTCCAGGGAGACCGACAGCACTTAATCCGTGGTTGTGCAAACCATGGCTTAAAAGAGTGGTTGAATCGATTTCCCTACGCTTCCAACTTCAAGGTTTGTGTAGCCAGGGCTCCCGGTGCACATCCACCAAGGTTTCGGCCCACCTTGAATGGTTTTACGTGGGTAAAGCGCACAAAAGGCGACAACTACTTTTGCATGTCGAAGTCCAGTGTCATGATGCGCTGCACAAACCACATGCAATTATGCAATTGCATGCTCGGAACGCAGCCACGGCTTTCTTGCCTTTCAAGATGCTGCGTGCCTGGTTCGGCCTGTAATTAAATTGAAAGCACCTTCTGCCGAGTTCGAAGGTTTTTATCGACACCGTGACTCTGTTTCGGGTTTGGTGCATTTTCTCAAGGGATGTTAGGACTTTAGCTTTTTGCCAACTAATGAATCGGTTTTCCATTACACCACAAAAAGTTAAACTTTTAGCAGGGGAGCAGAAAGCAGCCGAGTTCTGACGTGCAATTTTTATGGCGGAGCTTCGCTTGGAAGATGCGAAAGGCGGTGCCTTGGAGCCATCTCTAGTACCCCAAATACCCCGTTTTTTTCAGGGTATCATGTCGACCCTCTACTAAAAAAGGAGGTTTTTGCCATGGAAAACCCGGTTTTCCCAAAACTACCCTACAAAACGGGTATTTTGAGTAGGGGGCATGCACCGGCACCCTTCTGAGTACATTGTCTTGGGTGTGGGGGATGAGTTTGGGTATTTGTACTGGAAAAACCCAACAGAAAATCTGCACTTTCGGGGGCTTTCCCGAAAGGCTTTGCTTCTGGACGAGATACGGTACGGTGTCCTCATGAGAATCCGAAGAAATGGCGGGTTTAGCAGGGGGTCCACGGGTCTACGTGCACATATTTGGGGGATGTGTTTCCGGCTACTCAAGAGTATGCCTGCGCAAAAGGCCGGCCCTGTTGGCAGTCCTGTTTGAAGGAAAGCTCGTTGGGTTCGCTGCTTCCCCACTTTTATATGTAGGCATCAGTGACTGAAAGTTTCTTAGATGCCCTCTAGAGCGGCTGGTGCAAGGAAAGCCCTCTCCGAACAAACCAGATTGTATTTCAGGAAGACGCCTGGAGCTTACTCACTTGTTGCAGCCAAGTTGTTGTTTGCGCGACTCTTTTTCGGGTTCAAGAACCTCCGCACGGACCTGAACGTGCATTTGTTTTTCTCTTCCAATTTTGCTTCATGAGCCAAGGGTCCCGAAAGCGCAGCGAGTCATTTCAACTCCAGTTCCTTTGGACAGCATGTTTTTTTGCTGGAAAGCCACTCGGCTTGCGCCATCGGGGCTCTGTTCCCCGAACCTCCAACTGTCACGATCCCTACATTTCCCTGTGAGGCCAGTTGAAAGACCTCAAAAAGGTCACCAGGAGGATGTTGAATATGGGGAGTCGCCCGTTTCAGGAGGCCAATCTCGGCTTTGAGGCTCGGAAATCGGGCGCAGAATGCGACTTCATTCATGTACGTCCATTTGCTTAAGAACATTTGTTATTGTCCCCTGTTGGTTTCAAAGGGAAACTATCACTACTGGATTTTTTTGTTTTTTCCAGGGGTCTTAACCAAACGGAAGTATATTTGAGTTGTTGCAAAGGGTAGCCTCCACAAAACAGCCCGCCAAAAGGAGATCCCTCAAGAGCTTCCGCGTCTTGGGGAGAGCAAGCGAAATGGCGATCAAATTGGCTGGTGGCATACTATGACTCTGTTGTTCAGTGCCACCAATTATTTTCCCCTTTTTTTTGGGTGGGGGATGAGGGAAACTTGTATATTTTGGGCGAGGTGGTAGGTCTGCGCATTCTTTTAAAATATCAAGCTCACCGATCAGGGGTAAGACCACTGATTCCACCTGTGATGAAGGTCCACTAGGGATTAGTTGAATTAATTCGTGCAGATGGTTGAACAGCAAGGTCCGAGTCTAAATGTCGACCAAACCACGCGTAGAGACAGGCGTCCTTTTAGGGGGGAAAAACCGTCTCCTTTCTGGCCACCATGAAAGGTGTTGGTGGTGATGTTTTAAGGAAACAAAATCGGGCACCCAGTGGAGATGCGGCATTGATCTCCAGGTCCTGGAGCCATGGGACACAAGGATGTCCTGCCAAATCCGGATCTTGCACCGCATTTTTTCCCCATATGTCTCAGCCGTAATCAAACAGCCGGCTGGACAACTTACTCCCCCAGTTTGTGGACTGCATACTTTTTGGGAAGACCACGTTAGTGGTAAATGTTCTGATTTTTTGGGGCAATCCACTCAGGAAGTGAGACTATGGTTTGACCACTCCTCTCGATCGGAAGTGCGTTTTCTTTGTTGGTCTTTGTTGAGGAAGTACTCTTTCTTGTCCAGACCGCAGGTCATACGGGGTGGATCCACAACACGTCCCTCAAATGGGTTGCCATAAACTGAGATCTCCAAAACTTGGTGGCTCCCAGCCATCCCCTAGCCTCGCAGTTAGTGTTTAGTGGGGATTTCCATTTAACCGACTAAAAGTTAGTCACTTCTCCTCCGGGGGATCTGAAAACGGACAGCTCAGTAAAATCGAAATCCCCGCCCCCCAAGCTGGTGGGGATGAAAGCCCGGCTCCCCGGGGCAGGCGCCGGAGGTCATGCGGCAGGAGGCGAAGCGCGAAGCCGTTCACTGGCCAATTGGTTCGCCAAAGGTGGCTGAAGGTTGAAGGCTTAACGTTTTAATCCCCGCTTTTTTTTTTTTTTTTTAACCCGTTGGCGGTTCACAATTTTGAGTGCTGAGAGGCTCAGATTCGTTTGTTCGCCGCTCAAGGGAGACGTTCTTGGCGAGCTAAGAAATCACCTCCAGGTGATTGAGAGGGTGTTTTTGCAAGGGTGGTCTGTCTTTCTGTCTAATGAATTGTGTGAATATGCTTGTGGACCAGTAGGGCCACTTTCGCAAGAAGGGGTCCTCTTTAAGGCGAGGGATTTCCACCCCATATTTCGGGCAGTGTTCAAGTACAAGGGCCCTGGAATCCTTTTGGATGACGAACATGGTCCCCGCCAACGGCCAGGCGTTTATGCAGAATGCTGGGCGCCCAAGCAAACCTCCGACAAGCCCTCCAAAACGGACGGGGGTGCACAGTAGGTGTCCTTTTTGGCTGTAGAAAATGGAGGGCGATTCCTGGTTGGACCTGGTTTCATCCAGCGCCATCTATTTCCCCAGACACGTATGAAAACACAGCACCAAACCCTTTTAGTCAGACCCCCCGGAAAAATGTGGTCCGCTGATTCTTTGGTGGGGGGCTCCCGATCCGCCTCCAAAATGATGGCGGATCGCAGTCTTCCACCTCTGTCGGCCAGATTCAGGGGACCGTCGTCTGAAAAGGACGCCTTGTCCGCTTCCACGATCAGAGAGCGGCTAAGACGTGCACATGGTAGAAGGCATCCGATTCAAAGACTCACTGCCTGAGTTCATGGGCTTGAGTCACTTTTTGGGGGTTGGACCAAAACCAGCGTCGCAGAATGGGGACCAATGCACTCAGGAACTGCAGGAAGGGACCGTCAAAAAAATCTGGGCAGGGTTGTGGGATCAAGGGGTGTATCCCCACTTCTGTGATACAAGGGAATCCCCCTGCTTAAATGGGGGTCGTAGTCTTTGGGAGACCCTTTTGTATCACAGAAGTGGCCAACTCCCACAGCCCTGGAAATTGGGCCAATGGCCGGTTGGGAACGTTCTCCGAGGGGATGCCCATGTGGCAGCCACCGATGCAGGGGGCCCTAGCAAGCAGAAGGGGAAGGATGGTTCACGCCCGCTGGTCTCCAAATTGGGGGGTTGGACCAAAACCATGTTGAGATGAGACAACCACACCTTGGCCCCCGGAAGCCAAAAGGAGGTTCGGGAAAACAATCCTGATTTAGATAATTATGACGCAGGGGGAACTCGGGGATGACCGCTCAGTTTTGCGGCTTCTTTGTTTTGGTTTGTGTTCATTTGTTCGGGTTTCAGGCCCCCCCCAAGGTTTTTGCATTGATCTGGGTTTGAATCCTGGTTTTGAGGGTCGAAACTGGCAAGCACACCGATCAGGTTACCCATCCAATCCGTTTGGAGGGAAGCTGGTGGGGCTGCACAGCTTGCCGGACTTTTTCTCTGGATGCTGGCGGCTTAAGACGCATTGCGGGGACAAGGAATCTAATGAGAAAGTGTGCGGGGGGGGGGGGGGGTTGTAAGGTCCCTGAAATGGTCAACTATGGTCAACTCTACCCTTTGCCTTTGCATGATGGAAGATGATAGCATTCGGGCGGTTTGCAAGTGACAAAGTTGCATTGCAAGTGGAAGGTACAGACGACAGCATCCAAGTAAGACAGCTACTGGAATTCCTGGGATGATCAAACTCAATCCTTGATGGCTTGCCTTGCGGAGT